AAGTTTCATCGAAAATTAAAATTTTGAGTTTTTGGGGGTGTAATAGTAGAATAGTGCCTTTTTTTCTTATTCAATGAGTCTCGCACAGATTCTGTTATCGTCGAAGATTTCGCGCCTTTATACCAACTTAACCTCAACTTCCTCGAGTGGTTGTTATTCCTTGTCTGAAGCCAGAGTGTCCCTGTCGTCCCTTTAAGGACACGAGGCATAGCACTCCTTTCGCGAAGGAGCGTGACCGTCATGCTGGCAGCCATCCTGATGCTCGTTCGACGTCTCAAGGGATGCAGCCAGTTCATCGGTAAACACAATACCCCACAACGGGTCAGGACCACTTAATCTTCGTAGAATGGAGTTAACATCTACTATTTTGCAAAATTTTACATTAAGACCAACATGTAGAAAAACTCGCTCAGAAGCACCTACAGATCACCTCGTATACACACCGACACTAACATTTCTATACAGACACGCACTTAGGCACAAAGACGAACACACGCATACATACACGCTCAATCGCACACAAACACACACACACACCTGCCCACCTACACACATCTGCGCGCACCTACACATACCAACGCATGCACCCACACATAGGCTGCTTTCATAGTCCGCCGGCCGGCCCGCGAGAGGGGGCGGCCCTTGCCCCTTGGGCTCGCTTGCTCGCTCGCGCACGCGCTTGTGGGTTGGCCGGCACTATGAAAGCAGCTATACACATCTACACGCCTTCACACACGGCCAGATCTATGCAGTGATGACCCTAAGAAACTGCCTTTGAAGGCCGCTTTATATGATCTTCATGGATTGGCCACGGTTGCCGTTGAAATATAATAACAACTTTTAGTAACTAATTATTGATAATCTCGGCATAATTTATGATTTAAATTAGTATGTGGTTACCGTCACATTCGACTTTTTTTATAGTTTGTGTCACCGAAGGAAGCTCGGGAGAAGTATGCCAACTTCCTTAATTATAGTATCTCTCAACTGCAGGACATGATTCTGAGCACATTTTCAAATATCTCCGTGGGTGTTTCTTGTTAACTGGTTTTTTGACTTGTTGACAACTGACAACTCAAAAAATGCAAAATTAAGGGTTTTTTCCTTTCCACGGTAGCACGCTGTAATTACGTACCGACAGAAGATTGGCGTAAAGGGTGGCGATTCCTTGAATATATGACACAGATAGATCTACCACATCCATCTGTGTCGTTTATTCGACGAATCGAAAATAGCTCTTTAGGGATTCTGCAATTGTGGACTGCTAGCGCGAGTAGATTTAACTAACACCAGACCAAGTAGCGCTAAGAGTTGCCTCAACCCAGGTTCCCCCCTTCGCATCAGATTGGAAACTGCTTTAGAAGGTTTATGGTTTGTGTAATATGAGTCCGGGCGTCATCCCTTCCGTGACGTGCTGCGCTCAATATCCAATTCTTTCGCTAATTCCTACTTTTAACGCTGTGATATCTCCAGCTCTTTGCCCAGAGTAAAATAGCATTTCCTATTTTTTTTTCACACCCTCTTGCATTTCCAACCATATACAGGTGGGGTGTCCCAAAATTATGACGCCAATTCATGGAAATGTATTTAAAACTTCTCAGCTGAGAATGACAATGGAATCTGGATACACGTATGCTTACATCATGTGCTACAACATGCTACATTCACATTACATAATATCATCTATGAGCGTGGATACAGGCCCAAAGTTTGTCCTCGAACACCTCGCATGTTGCACGCAGGTGACCTTCCCTATTTCTTCCCAACCGTTCTTCATTCTTGCTCCCTATGACTCCAAATTGGGACTGGAAACCCGACAGGTCTTCTTCTGATCAGGGACCATACGGAGAAGTCAAGTGAGTTCAGATCTGAGAAGCTGGATGGCTATCCTCCTTCTAATGAAGTCGGGCAGCTAATGTCGACACCACCCACGGCTCTATGGGCTGAAGCATACTGCTGGAAGGACTACGAGCTGTTTTAGGAAGCGGAGTTGGATCAGTCCCTGATTCATTATGCCTTTTAAGCACAGGTTTAAGCACAGCATAGGTCTTTCTCAAATTCACGCCGGCATCGACGAAACCACGAGCGTCTTACCCTTGCCAGTGACTCCCTCGAAGAACATCATTTTGCTGTTCTTATAGTGGCTTTTTTTGTGAGAGATTGCACGTGCAATAGTTCTATAATATACGAAACACGATCGTTTTATTCTTTGTGAATGTTTTTGCATAAAAGTGCTTGAGCTAGAAGCGAATGTGTGTCTCAACTCAAGCGAGTCAACAACTTTCTGCATTTTCTCACCCTATACTGTCTGTTGAGACCGGAAATGAAGTGGGATTCTTGCATGGCAATGAAGCTTCTGCATGACATTGTTCCATCGCGAACTCCAATAAGCCGTGCCCGTTGACTTCCTTTTAATGGATCGACTGGCAGTCGGACCAGTTTATCAGTATTACCTTTAGAAACATTGGCCTTTCTACTTCTTCCTGGTTGTCCTCAATTCATTCTTCTTTTCTATATCGTTTAATGGCTTTCTACACGGTTGCTGTAGAAATCCCAAGGAATTACAGAAGGTCCTTCCACCTCTCGCATGCCAACGATTGCGAGTGGCAGTGAATGAGCGTCCTCCATTCGAAAGATATTGGGAGTTCCCCTTCAGTAACCATGTATTTTCCAAGAAAACCTTATGCAGTTGATTAATAGTGGGTGAAGGGAATTTGACAAATTACTTTAACCTTTGTGACAAATTACTTTAACCTTTGAAGATTCTGAATTTTGGCGCCCATGATTTTGGGACACCCTATAAGTAGTTTACTCACTCCGGTCGCGACTTCATTACAACAAGTTATTCCGTATGATCAAAAGCTAGCAGAACAAAAGTTCTCCTTGATAGCTTTCCAATCAAGAATCCAGGCGAATACCATTGGGATCGTTTAGGACACACTCTCCGATGTATCACCAAAGTGTGATAACATGATTGGAATATGGAATGTTATGGGAGTTTATGTGTGTCATTTCATTACGGTTCCAGTCCAAGGATTGTGGGTGGCATACAGTATGTGATTTGATATTTCTCGGTTGTATCGAAAAAGTAGCCTCTATGCTGTTGTCCTTCCGACCAGGTATTGAAGGAAGGTTCATGGCAATTTGAAATTTGTTCCGTTGATTTTCCTCTCATCCTAAGGATGGGGCAATTCTGGGGGCAAGTTGGAAGGAAAGATTATTAAGGCTTCAAACATTTTGCTTTCAGTGATTTGCGTTATTGGCTCAGCACCTATCTATCAGGCATTCTTTAGCGCATCACGATTCCTACAGGATTATGCCGAATCAGTACGAAAAACGTATATTCGGGAGAACGAACGTTTGGAGAAGGTTCTTTTTGCTGAGCTTTTCTATTTTCCTATATGCTATGTGGAGTTTTTCCATGAAAGTCTTCTTTTTTGAAGTTGGCATAAGGATCTTCGATTTACAGTTTGTTGAACGGAGTTAAATACATGGCGCGTTTCAAACTGAATTCAGTCAACGTCGATAATTTTTTTTGCCCTGAATTTCCTGTCCCAGAATTCGTGAAACTTTTCTCTGAAGAAATTCAAGGAATTCGTTTGAGGGATAAAGAAGTAATCACTACAATTCCTCATAGTAATACTACCTTCTTTTTGAGTCACGTAGTCCTAAAAAGTTCATGTGCAATGAAGCGGTCCTGTCAGTGACAAGCTAAGCATTCTGCAGTACTTTCCATTTTACTGAAATATGTAAACTTCATTAGCTGATGTTTTGGCAACGATGTCTTCTATGGTGCTCCTGAAGAGGCTTCTGTAGGTACCTTATTTCTTCAAATAGAACCTCGCCTTCGTCAAAAATTGTGAAGAACACGGTTGTTCCCAAATCGCTGGCTTGAAAACCACGATCATGTTAAACTTGATGGATAGGTGATGAACTATTCATTGGCCAGATGTCCCACGCCTGAGACCCTTTCCGCTTTCTCAATTTCTCACGGTTTTGCTCCTGTGAACTTGGAAAATATTCTCCAAACTTGAACGAGGTTACGATTCTGGTCAACTGAAAGTAAGTGATTCGGCACTAATCTTTTACGCAAACCCCATTGATATTGAGGGTGCATAGCTCTGAGTATCACCACATGAAGACTGGATCAAGGTCATGAGTGAGATGGCATGGTGACTTTACCTGTACCCAACTTTTTTCTAATTGTTTGCTCCAATTTCAGCTTCGCTATGTGCACCGAAGAATGGCTGAGCTTGAGGATAGTACACAGGATGATCTAAGTGAAGATATACTGGGCCCTTCGCAGGGCTCAGCTTCCATTACCCCTGGTGCTGCCACTCCTAACCCTATAACGCCATCAGAGAAACCGAGTGATAGCGTCGGAGGTGCTGGAGAGACCCCGAAGAAGAGTGATTTCTCGAAAGAGATGGCTTTGGAAGGAAAGGAGACTAGTTTCTCGAAGGAGACGGACGCGAAGAAAAAGTGAGTTCAACGCATGCTTAATCACTGCTCGCTTAACTGATTTCAACTGAGCAATAACCGAGCGATATTGCTCGTAAACTCGATAAATGACTTCCTTCATTATTGGGAAGCGTGATGATTTCATCCTAAGGGGTGATCCTTGTAACTCCATCAAAGGTTTCCCGTCTTGAGGGCCAGTTCACGGTAGTGTTGAGGCATTAGTTTATGTGATATAATGGAAGGTATCTGGCAAAATAGTGCAGAGGTGGGGAAGAAATGTAGCGAAGAAACGAAGAAAATTGCCGGAATTTGTAATATGTGGCCTGAGAGTGTTAAAAAAGGGGGTGTCGACAGAATCGGCAGAAAGGGGTACCTGTACAAGATGCGACTAGCGTCGTAGCGTAAAGAACTGGCTGCAGAGACGAAATTGGCAGTAAATTGCCTTTCACTGGGTCCATAGTTTATAGCATACAAAACTGAATTTTTGAAAAGAAAAAAAAAGAAAAATTATGTAGACGTACGACTGCAGTTTCCGTATGAATGCATCGCCGTCTGTAACCGTCTAGGTGTCTCCCACATAGACACACTATTCATCGGCCTCCTAACGCTTCATTGTGAATGGTGCACTCTTAACAATACACATCGTAACACGGCCACTTTTGGTTATGTACAGTAGCGCTCAAAAGTCTTCGGTGGAATGGTTCTTCAGTCGTACTTTACAGCCGTAACTCCTTTCCTACTGGATCTATTCATGCAAAATTTCTATATGTGGAGCGCGGGTGTATTGTGAATATTTACCACTATTAACTTGCAATCTGATCATGTTCCAGATATTCCAAAGAGCATGAACTCAAAATCGATTGAAAATACACATGATGGTCCTTCTAGAATCTCTTTCCTTTTTGTTTTGTCTAAAGGGTACGAGCGGTAATGCCGAACGCAATAGATGAGAAAAACGCACATAAGGTGCGAATAAGTGCAGACGTCAACAACTTTAGTTTTAGCAAAATCTGCCACTGCAACAAACACCTTGCTTTATCTAAGGATATTGAAGCTTCGCAGTCAAATAGTGTTGGATAGGATGAAATATGCTCTAGTTAAACATATCCGAAT